TAGCACCACTCCATAAAGGAGGAAATAAGGCAGAGGCAAAAAATTACAGACCGATAGCACTAACGTCGCACATCATAAAATTTTTTGAGAGTGCGCTAAGTAAGATCCCAAAATACATGGAATCACAGCATCTCCATAACCCCGGACAACATGGTTTCAGAAAAGGGCGCTCTTGCCTGTCGCAGTTGTTGGACCACTATGATATGGCATTAGATGCTATGGAAGACAAACAAAACGCTGATGTAATTTACACAGATTTCGCAAAAGCTTTTGATAAATGTGACCATGGTGTTATTGCACATAAAATGCGTTCAAAAGGAATTACCGGGAAAATAGGCAGATGGATCTACAATTTCCTGACTAACAGAACCCAATGTGTAATAGTCAACAAAATAAAATCCAGCCCATCAACCGTAAAGAGCTCAGTTCCCCAGGGTACTGTGCTTGCTCCAGTACTTTTTCTCATCCTCATATCGGACATAGACCAGAACACAACCTATAGCACTGTATCATCCTTTGCAGATGACACTAGGATTTTCATGAGAGTTGGCAACATAGAGGACACGGCGAACCTCCAATCAGATGTAGATCAGTTCTTTCTATGGGCTACAGAAAATAATATGGTGTTTAACGAGGATAAGTTCCAGCTCATGCGCTACAGAAAAATTGAAAATATAAAAACGGAAACCACGTACAAAACTCAGGCAAATCATAACATAGAACGAAAAGGCAATGTAAAGGATCTGGGTGTACTCATGTCGGAAGACCTTACCTTTAACCCTTAAACTGCGCATGGCATATATATACGCCCTGAGTAACATGTCCCACGGTGCGCATGGCGTATATATATACGCCATAGGGTGCCAGGCCCGATTCAAGTGGCCCGCGGCTACACAGTGTTCACAGTAGCTTCCTCAGGGCTCTTGTAAACAAACGCCATTTTTTTTAAAAATCGTGGGCAATATTCTCAGGTGTGAGAGGCACAGTACTGTTGGAGCAACCAAGGCCGGCGCACGCAGCATGAGCGAACAGCATTGCTGTTCAGCTTGTGACCACAGCATCGCCGAAAAATGCCAAAATAAATATATAATTGTTATTATTTAGCGATGACAATATTACAGATGACCCATGACTGTGATATAAATAACCAGGGTTGTGATAATAGCAGGATTGTTGTAATAATTAGTGCTGTGGGAGGAGTGATGCTGAGAGACGGAGGGAGACAGCATCGTTTACTGACTGTGTGGCTACCTGTTATTGTTTGCATTCACCATACCAGGTCAGTGGTTCTCTATGGTGAAGACAAATGTAGATACTTATATATAATGTGTGTATTAGTGTAATAACAGCAAAAGGATTATGCTGGGAGGAGCCACATGGGTGACGGAGGTGACGTCGTCTGCACGATTTGTGTAGCTGTTTAGAGGGTGGCCACTATGCTCTTTGGGCGCACTACAAGCTTAGGTGTACAGTTACGGTGCGTAAAACATGTAGATACTTATATATAATATGTGTATATAGGGTAATAACACTGCAAACAGTATTGTTGGGGGAGAAAGTTTAGTGTGTGTGACCTTGAATGAGTGAGGGAGCCACCAGCCGCCATCTGTGTATAGCGACGACTCTTAGTGCCTGAACTAACTATATCAGCTTAGCTGTACAGTTGTGGTGACTAAAATATATACATACTAATATGTAACGTCTGTATATAGTGTAATAACACCACAAATGGTATTGTTGGGGAAGAAAGTTTAGTGCGTGTGTTGAGGGAGTGGCAGCGAGTGGCTGGCTGGTGTGTGGTGGTAACTCTTCGTTGCTTTTCAACTCTCAATACCAACTTAGTGGTTCGTTATGGTAACCAAAACATGCAGATACTTATATATAACCTGTGTATAGAGTGTAATAGCAGCAAAACTATTTGTTTATTGTTTTATAAACATAATAATTGAATCACTAATATGCACACCATACTTTTGAGTATAGCGATTATTCACCACTTTTATTATATAAATATATTACAATACACACTATTGAATAATATTACTGCAAAAAAACTAAGAAAAAATCAATCGGAGACATTGAAACAATTAGGTAATAATATCTTTGTGGCAACTCCCACCTGTCAGTGCTGGTGACGCTGACCGGCTCTGACGACCGCTCTGTCAACGCCCACTTTTTGCCAGACTACTTCTGTCAATTGCGCCCAAAATATGTCACCTACGATTTTTTTTTTATTTTTCCCGTGCTCAGGGGACACAAATTAACACTTTGGCGTACCCCGCGCACCACCCCTCAACTGTGCGATATGGGACCCAGGGTGTCATGCGAGCGCGCGTAAATTCTGAAAAGTGTATACTCTCTTCAACTTTGTCACCTTAATTCTCGTCCTACGAGATTAAATTTTGTATCATTGTGTTCGCAATAGAATTCTCTACAGCACTAAATGCATATAAACTCCAAAAGCCCGGCTAATTACCCGCAGCAAACAGAGAAAGTGCGAACGAGTTACCCAGGAGCCGCAAACGCGATAAAATGTTTTCACTATTTTCACTCTGGTCACCTCAATTTTCGTCCTAGGTCTTTCATTTTTGTCTTATTGGGTTCGCAATAGAATTCTCTAGATGAACATTATCATATAAAATAAAAAACCTGGTCACGCTCCAACCGCCGACGAGTTGAAGACGGGCCACGCATTAGCCACAAGCGAGCGCTCAGATGCCTTCCAGCTACACTCCCAATTCCCGCCCTTTTCAAGCCTTTCTTTCGCAATTTTCTTCCTGGAAGGGCCTTGTTCATGATCACTATCCAGCGTGGAGTAAGTGTAGATAGTTTCTAAAGCCGCAGTAAGAAATATAGACACGGAAAATAGCCGAAATGTTCACACGTTTGAGATGCAAGGGGAGGCGACATTGGTCACAACAGTGGAGCGAAAACAATGGGCCCACGGCGTGTGCCAAGCCGCCTGAGGGCCACGAGGCTCAACAAAGAAAATGGGAAGACATCGGCGCGCATTTTAAAACCAGTCCCAAAAAAATCGGATAAAAACCTGATTTTTAGCGATTATTTAAAGTGGATGACGCAATGCTGCGTCATCCCCGGCATTACTGACAGTAAACGGATGACGCAATGCTGCGTCATGCCCGGGCGAAAGTGTTAACATGTTTAGAAGACGAAAAAAAATTTGAATTTTTTTTCTTGCGCACAGGGGTGTAAATGTCCCCAGGACCCCTGAGCAGTGTAAGGGTTAAAGAACACAATAAAGTAGCCGTCACAACTGCAAGAAAGATGACAGGTTGGATAACAAGAACTTTTCACACTAGAGATGCTATACCGATGATGATACTTTTCAAAACGCTTGTGCTCTCTAGTGGAGTACTGCTGCACAATGACAGCCCCTTTCAAAGCTGGAGAAATTGCTGACCTGGAGAGCGTGCAGAGATCCTTTACTGCTAGAATCCACTCAGTAAAACATCTAAATTACTGGGACCGACTAAAGAGCCTAAATCTGTACTCCCTTGAGCGCAGGCGGGAGAGATACATAATAATTTACACATGGAAAATAATTGAGGGGTTGGTCCCAAACCTGCACACAGAAATAACATCACACGAGACCAGAAGACATGGCAGGATGTGCAGAATACCCCCGTTGAAAAGCAGAGGTGCAACAGGTACTCTGAGAGAGAACACTATCAACATCAGAGGCCCGAGACTGTTCAACACGCTTCCACTACACATAAGGGGCATAACTGACCGACCCCTCACAGTGTTCAAGAGAGAACTGGATAAGCACCTCCAAAGGATACCTGATCAACCAGGCTGTGACTCATACGTCAGGCTGCGAGCAGCCGCGTCTAACAGCCAGGTTGATCAGTCCAGCAAACAGGAGGCCTGGTCGACGACCGGGCTGCGGGGACGCTAAGCCCCGGAAGCACCTCAAGGTAACCTCAAGGTAAGGATGCAATCCCACAACAAGCTGACTAACTCATAGGTACCAATTTACTGCTAGGTGAATGGGTGATAGGAAATGCATTCGGCAATAGGAAATGCGTCAGACCATTTTTATCCTGCCTGGGATTCGACCCCGGAATTCTGGATTGTGAGGTGAAAACAAACCCAACTGTACATAGTACCAGAACCCTGAACCCTGTCTATCTTTAACCATGTCTACCAGCACAAACAATAATGTAAACAATGTCTTGTTAAAACAATAATTTAATAAAGAGATCAGACTGGCAAATCCTGCCATAGTGATTGTTATGTGGTTGGAATTAATTGGAATGAAAAATTATTGTAATTGTATCATATTTTTGCTGGCAGGTGTGTATGCGCGCATCACCAGTGAACCCTTTTGTTTTGTCTCCCAAGTGTATTCTCATTACAATTAATTCATATCATGCATGTTATGTATATGGCAATATGAATTTCATAGACTTTACAATTGCATATAAAACCATTTCTGGAAATAGTCATTATTCAATTGTAATTTCTTATTCATCTGTAAGTTGAAGTATACTGTTTATGACAAAACTAAATTATCTACACATATTCACACATGCCTTACATTTCGATTCCTTTGGTTATTTGTCACACACTAGCACTGAATTTTCTCACTGATGGTCACCTTCTCTGGTTGCCCTCAATGCAGCCCCAACTGATGATCTGCCACATTTTCTACAGTTGAACAAGACCCTCATTATATATAACATTTTCCAATTCAGTCTTGTTTTCAATTACTGCTACCTTTCTAGTCTAGATGTTTATTTCCCCACATTAGTATACATACCAGGACAATCCTCACTCTTTTCACACGTCCATGTATAAGGAAGTGTCGTGTACGTGCTGTCATAACCAACCTAAATATTTTGAGTGTTCTATTAAAAGCTAAACATTTGAAAGGTGTCAGCCTGAGAGATGATCCTTTATGTGGCCACCATCTCAAGCATGGTGAACTTTTAAAGCAAAGCATGCATCAGAAATAAGAGTAATACATTTGCTCTTACCTGGTTTTAATTTTGTGCTTGTTGGTACAGGTACTGAAGCAAAAAGTGCCAGTTTTGCAATATCAGCCACAAGGGCTTGGGTAAGTGATGCCAATATGCAACTCTCTTCTTCCAACAGGCTATCAACTTCATTCTTTGCACCCTATTGGATAAAAATACAATTTAGATATTTAGATAAAAATACCACTATAAAACTGGTATTTTCTTTCCTCAAAAATCTCATTTTTTTTAATAAGACTGAAAATTCCATTTTCATCCTAGTACAGTATACTGTATATGATTAGATTAACAACCCTGATTTAATACATTCGACATTTCATCACATCCTGCATCAGCATTGACTAGATAATTCATAAATTATTGGATTTCTTTTACTGGAAATAATATGTATAAATTATTGGTTAAATTTATTAATAGTATAAAAAAAACAGCGTTTAATGTAATGAAACGCCATTTTGTGGGCGAGTACCGGAGGCTCTCCGGAGCTATCCATGGCTGATATGGATACCCTAACTACTTTACATCAGTCGATGTGGGTGGAGTTCTAGGCCTACCGGGGACCACGAGCCAGAACCTGGCCCCCTCAGAGAGGCACGGGGAGCAATGGCCCATAGAAATGCACATGTGATTTGGAGCATTCTATATCTGCCATCGACCGGGACAGGCACCCAGAAAGGCAAGCGCCACAAAACAAACCCCTATTCTGGTTAAACAACAAAAATCGACAAACGAGTGGACAGAACTCCACCAGGAAAACGAACTAACAACCATGACGTAACACGAGCTGCGCCGCATGTTTGCGCAGCTCCCCCCTCCCCGGGAGGGGGAAGGGGGAGCCCCAGACCCCCGCGCCGGCGATCCCCGCCCCAGTTCTGAGGCTGGATATCAAAACCGTGAAAAACCCGCCGACCGGAAGGCGGGAGGGTGCCGGGGAGCCTCTGGGACTCACCCAGAAAATGGCGTTTCATTACATTCAACGCTGGTTCTCTGGGGGGAGCCCCTACGGCTCCCCGGAGCTACCTCACCAAAGACTACCTAAAAAACAAGGGGACATACCCGGGAGGCGGTCGGAGAATCACTCCACAACACGAAGTCGAGACAACAACCCAAGGTATAGCATTCGCCAGAAAAAAGGGAGAACGGCCGCAGACGAAGAAAACCTATGATCACGACAATAGGAGCCAAAAACCACTGCGCCTGAGAAGAGCAAGAAGCTCTGCCACACGGCCCCCAGAGGCGAATGCCAACACAAAAAGAAAACCGAGGCAAAGCAAACCTGACCCCAAGGAGCCACAACCACCAAGGAGAAGAAAAACAGGAGAGCACCCTATTCAAAGACCAGGACGACACAGACAGTGTATAAGCAGGCCGGAGGTGTAACAACGCACGATACAACCTGCGAAACGGCGCAGAAGGAATATCGATACCGAAAGCTAGCAGCAGACACCAAGGTGCCAGACCCTGGAACGGCCCCAAGCGCCTCTACATCCTCCGCAAGCCAATCCTATGACAGCCCCAGGAGGGAAAAGAAAACGCAGGACCAAAACGAAAATGCCACAAGTGTGCAAGACCACCTCCACAAGTGCAGCTGACAGGGAAGGAACTCGCATAAGGAGCCGCCCCGCACCAATATCCCGCAGAAGGGCAGGAGCGAAAAGACTCATTAGGAGGAGCAAAATCGCTCCCAGGAAAACTAGGAGTGCCGAGACAGTGTGAAGAGAAGAGATATTCACAAAAGAACAAAAAGGCCAACACCCAGAAGCTGCCGGCAAGAGCTGATGATTGATGCCTCGCAAAACCCACAAAACCCAGTGCCTTGCAAAACCCGAAGTGGGTTTCCACGAAGTGGAAACCCACTTCGGCCAATCATCAGCCAGATACCCACACCCACGTACAGACTGGCGAAGCGACTCAATGGCTTGCTGACTCCTTATGTCCCTTGTGCCTTCAGCCTGAAGTCTCCAAAGGAATTTGTTGACTTACTGCAGGGAACACGGCCCACAGGGACAAGAGCCTCGTTGGACGTAGAATCACTGTTTATGAAACGTACCTGTGGATGAAACAATCGGGATGATAGCGGACAGAGTGTATCGTGATCCGACCTGTACTCCTCTTGACATACCAGAAAACATTCTAAGGAAACTACTCCAAGCTTGTACTAAAGAGGCACCCTTCTTGAGCCCGGATGGGCACATGTATAAGCAAGTAGATGGGGTCGCCATGGGTTCTCCCCTAGGTGTCCTGTTTGCGAACTTCTACATGGGTACCATCGAGCAAAAGGTCTTAGTCGACATGAACTTGAAACCGGCCATATACTGCAGGTATGTTGACGACATTTTTACACAGGTACCTGATGTCAGACATCTGTAGGAGCTGAAGGAGGCATTTGAGCGGAATTCTGTGTTGCGTTTCACTTACGAGATGGAGAAGGATGGGAAGCTGCCCTTTCTAGATGTAACAGTCATGGAAAGGAGTGGAGGTATCCACACTGCAGTCTACACTAAGGAAACAAACATAGGAATGTGCCTCAATGCCAACAGTGACTGACCAGACAGGTAGAAGAGGAGTATCGTTAACGCTTATGTCGACTGTGCTCTCAGCCACAGCTCAGGATGGAAGCAAGTCGATGAAGAACTCTGTAGGGTAAGGCAGGTCCTAGTCAACAACGGCTTCTCCAAGGGTTTCGTTGAAGACATCATAAGAAGGAAGGTGAAACGTCATGCAACCTCTGAAGAGACAACTAACACAACACCTGTACCCCCTATTAGACTATTTTACAGGAACTTCTTTTCCACAGCTCATAAAACGGAAGAAAGGGTCCTGAAAGATATTGTTAATAGAAACGTTATCCCTACAGACATAAATCAAAAGATACAATTGACGATTTACAGGCATACCTAAGTTAAAGAGTTTAATTCGTTCCTGGAGACGACTCGTATTCCGAAGCTAATTTCCCCATAAGAAATAATGGAAAATGAATTAATCCGTTCCTGACTACCCCAAAAAACCCACATCAAACTAAATTTTTATACCTAATTCATCTCAATAAACCTACAAAACTATGTTCAAGTTATTACTTATCTTGCTGTTGAATGCTGTAGGCGTATGGAAGATGGTGAGGAGAGGGGAGGAGGAGAGGAGTTACTGTTTGGAAAGGGAGTCCCCTTCCATTATCACATCAGGCAGTGAGGACCTTTCTGGTGTGCTCTCCCTGGCACGTTTTATCTGAGTGCCACTAGGTCCTGGATGAGGCTCACTGCTCGATTTCCTCACCACAAATCTGTCCATGGAAGCTTGCTTTTCCCTTCTTCGCAAGCTCTCTCTGTAGTAAGGCATCACATTGTCATTGAAAAGATTAAGGCAACGGCCTACTACAGCTTTCTCTGGGCGAGTCTTTTCAACAATTGTTTGAATCTCTTCCCACATCTGACACACATTCTTAATTACTGCAGAAGGGACATTCGCTACTGCCTCCTCCTCCTCCACTGTAGAATCATCCGCTGTGTTGTCTTGCTGTTCCTGTTGAAGGGCTTGGAGTTCATCGGTGGTCAGTCCTTTGTTGTGTTCTTCCACCAACTCCTCATCATCACCATCCAATTCCAAGCCCATTTGCTGGCCTAGAGTAACAATTTCCTCAACAATAGGCACATCATTTACAGGCTCAAACCCCTCACGGTCTAGTTCTCTCACACATTCAGGCCACAATTTTCTCCAGCCAGAGATCAGGGTTCTTTGAGTCACTTCTTGCCAGGCTTTGTCAACGCGTTTTAAAGCACTACAAATGTTAAAATGCCGTTTCCAAAACTCTTTGAGGGTGAGGTTTGTGGCTTCAGTCACTTCAAAACATTTCCGGAAAAGTGCCCTTTCATAAAGTTTCTTAAAATTCGCTATGATTTTCTGGTCTATAGGCTGAATTAGAGGAGTGGTGTTAGGAGGAAGGAATTTAACTGAGGAATTTATTGTATCTGGGCAACAAATCATCTTCCAAGCCTGGAGGATGAGCAGGAGCATTGTCGAGGAGAAGCACGGCTTTGAGTGGCAAATGTTTCTCCTGCAGATATTTTTCTATGGCAGGGCACAGCACTTCATTCACCCACTCCGAAAAAATAAGCCTAGTCACCCATGCTTTTTTATTAGACTTCCACATCACACACAAATGGGTTTTCTGCACTTTATATTGTTTGAAAACCCTTGGATTTTCAGAATAATACACTAGCAAGGGGTTAATTTTCAAATCGCCACTCGCATTTGAACACAGCACAAGCGTAAACCTATCTTTCATAGGCTTGTGTCCGGGCAAGGATTTTTCCTCCTTGGTAATGTATGTCCTCTTAGGCATTCTTTTCCAAAACAGTCCTGTTTCGTCACAATTAAACACTTGTTGCGGTAGGTATCCCTCAGCCTCTGCAAACTCTTTAAATTCCTCAATAAATCGTCCAGCGGCTGGTTTGTCTAAGCTGGCTGCCTCCCCATGCCTTGTAACACTATGGATACCACTTCTTTAAATTTTTCAAACCAACCCCTGCTTGCCTTAAACTCTTTCGTATCTGCATCACTCGTTGCAGGGGTTTTCTTTACAAGGTCTTCGTGCAATACCCTGGCTTTCTCACAAATAATGGCCTCCAAATCACCCCTTAACTCCTTGTCGTGTATCCAAAATAATAACAACTTTTCCACTTCAAGTATTTGTGGTCTTTGTTTCATTATTGTTCTTACTCCTTTTGCCACTTTAGCACCCATAATCTCATTTTTCTTCTTAAGTATAGTGCATATTGTTGATGTGGCTTTGTTGTACTGCCTACAAAGTTCAACAACATGTGTACCATTCTCATGCTTCCGAATGATCTCTTGTTTCTCCTCTATTGTCATCCTCACATAGGCTTTCTGGCCTTGATCCTTACCACTGGCTTTCTTGGGACCCATGGTGAGATATATAATAACAAATTGAATAGTCAAATGACCAAAAATCCAACAAAACACTGAAAATTCGGGTGAAGAATTTATGTGGGGTAGTCACTGGGCGCGAGACAATGGTAAACTGAGGGGCGGAGGGGCAGAGGGGCGACGATCACCGAACCACCACGCGCTAGGTCACCCTGTACGCGTATCAACAAACTCGCGTCCCGAGGTAACCCTCGCCTT